TTGCAAAATGGCTCATTTTATAAACATCACTACTTTTATGACTGACAAAAATATGCACGATCAGGTGCCAACTCCTTCACAAATACATATTTCACAACTGGTGTCGTAAATTGCTTGCAAGTACAAAATTTTAAGATGTTAAAGGTCTATGCTCAATCCATAAAAAAATGGCACAGCTCATACAAAGATTTCATGGATTTTGCTCTTCTGCCAGTTTCACATCCACCTAACTTCACTAGTTTCAGAGGACTTACTCCCAATATATACATAAATCTACATTTAAATCAAGCCATCTCCTATATACAATATTGGACCTGGGATTACACATATGCGTTTCAAACAAGTGAAATACAGGACAGAGAAAAGATAAGTGGACCTTGCCTATTTTAAGACCACTATATAGTCTGTATATCGCAGTGCACGAAGCACACATTTCTTCAGAATTTGCTTTTTACATTTGCTGCCCATTGTAGAAGTCTCTTTAAAACTGCATGGGCCACGAACTACTGATTAAGTCCGAAAAAAATTACATTTCTAATTGGAAATGTTTGAGAGTTAAGAAAACCATACATGATATTCCACTATTTAAAGCAGCAATGAACCCTAAATTGAACCACTTCCTCATGGCAGCGATTGCTGTGTTGATAGCCATTACAGCTTTTCTAATTATAGTACAGGTTAAAATGAAGTATTGAATGCTTTAGCTTACTCAGCTATGACATGGATACATTTATAATAAGCTTAAGTATTGGGAAAAACCAGTCATTTGGTACTGGCCAACTGCCCATACAAATAGGAGACCTTCTAGTGGTTCTGTATTGCCTGCTCTTCTCGGTCACTTTGCAGTATCCATTCAAAAATCCAGTGTCAGCTACTTCTAATCTTGGAGTCACTGGGTTTGTTTTTTTTTGTTTAGTGGTTTGTTTTGTTGTTTTTGTTTTTTTTTTTCACATTTCTATTAAAACCATTTAAAAATAGTAGTCTCAATATAGCAGGGATGGAAACATTTAATTAAAAGTCAGACCTCACAGTCCTCAAATTTAAGACAGTTCTTAAAAACCTCTTAAGGAGGTGTGCCTTCTGGTTTTATTAAAAATGAAGGTAACATCAAATAAAAAGCAAAACTAAAGAAGAATAGGTAGAACATTTTACTTTTGTCAAACCTTAAATGTAAAGTATAGGAAAAAAACATGGTTTGGAATTTCAAGAACAGGAATATAAACATGTATTTTCTATCCCAGAATAAAATTCATGCGGGTGTTACAGTATTTGATCATTCTCTACATCCACTGGTATGCAACATCAACTTTATGTTATTAAATAGATACAGAGATATCATAAATTCATACAAATACCAGGGTCTCCCGGCCCCAGTTATACTGTAGATCAAGCAAATCTCTTCTTTGGTAATTAGAGTTGGCTCATTTTCCATTCCAATGCAGGACTGTTAGCAGGCCATATTAGCCACTCATCTCAGAAAATTACAACTCCTGTAGACATCGTCTGGGCTGCTTTTGCCACAAGAAAATAATATTAGAGGTGGTATTAAAGTATAAATGCCAAGAAGTTAAAATTATTCATTCCTTGTTGTGGCTGTTTTCGGAAAAAAATCCAAACTCTCTCCTCCTCTAGTCATTGTTTAATGTAGGTAACATTTAGACTCGTGTAAAGGTATTTTGATATGGGAATGTACACATGCACACTTTCAGTTTAAATAGAGACACCTGTGTGGAGAATGGCAATTTAAAGTTAACATGACTTGAAGGTATTCCTATAATAAAGTTTAAAGATTTAGTAAACTGGGACATTACAAATTGAAAAAAGTGTTTCTAGATTTTTTCATCTTCCCTTTTTCAACAAAGACTGATGGAATATACAGATACAGGTTGACATTTTGATTTATCCAAAACAATTTTCACTTTGCTTAGTTTGCAAGTCCTATTGACTAAAACGTTGTATCATTCACAACCAGATATCTTCAATAAGTGAAACAATAAGCAAAGAAAACCAAAACTAAGCTCAGAAGCTAAGTGGTTTAGAAAGCCTGGTAACACCTATGTGTGCGTAAGTGTGTCTAATTTTTTTTTTTATACATTATATATATAGACACACACATATATATACACACACATGTGCGCACATGCGCACACGCACACACATTTGTAACCTGCAGTGAAGATCAATCTATTTTCTAATAAGGAACAAAACACATTATTTGAAAATGTGGCTAATTTAACAAAACAGAGAAGAAACTGCTGCTATCAAAATATACAATTTGGATTGCAGACTAGAAGGCTAACAACATTAAAAAAATAGTTTTAAGCAAAACCCCTTTGCTTCTGAATAACAACAGGTATCAACCTGCCATAGCATGAAGCATCCAAACAAGATTTTATAAAAAGTTTAAACTGTGACCCTTCTTCATTTGTAAAGTTCTTGACACATCATATAGTGTGAGCTCTGGTCTCCAAATTGGAGCCCCTTTCATTTTTTCTCAATCCATACTTCAGGAAATAAATGGCAGCTGAAGGATTCAGAATCTCAAGTGAGATTTGTGCTTTACCATATACCTGAAAAAAATGAACAGAAGACAACATTACTACTCTTTTGCTATTTATGGAAACTGTACTCTCCGGAATCACACGCACAGACTTTGTTAGAACAAAATTCTTAGAGAATTTGCAAATCGCCAAAGAGATGCAATATCTTCTATGCCATATAGCTCTGTATTACGCACAATATTTGTCCCACTAAAAGACAGTCAGCTAAAATCCTTGCTTCGAAGAAAATTCATGTTTTCCAAGGCATCACATGACTTCTAACATTGGAAGATTGTTGTTAAAGATTACTCTAGTTCATTCTGGGAATTCAGATACATAGTTTAGCTGAGACTTTTAAATAAGAAGCCATAGGAAGTCTGATGCTTGGAATTATTTTGACAATTCCCACAGGATTTTTCTGTTTGAAGTTCACTCAGTCATTCAAGCAGTCTGCTGTGCAATCAACATGAGAAGATTAAACATTCATGAAATGCATGGGCTTCTCCCTTCCCTCAATATTTCTTCAACTCCTTCATGATAAGAAAGTTTCTTCTCTACAACATAAAAAGGTATTGCAATGAACTTCCTATTCAGAGAAGCAAAGTCAAAGCAATGCTGCTCTTCACAGAGCTGCTGGTGCTCCCCCATCCCTCGCTTCTCACAAAAGGCAGGGCTAAGTACTCGGAAGGCCCCTAAGAGACAGGAATCACCAGTCCAAAGCTCATTATGCACCGTATCTTTTTTGACTTCCTTCCTCTTCAACTCAGTCCTGTGGACTCAGGGGCATCAGGATAAGATAATGTTTTGTGGCTTTTTATCTTCAGGTAGTTTCTAACCTTTTCTAGACTGTTATCTAGTGAAGTAGAGAGAGAAAGGAGGAGAGCTTGTAAGCTCAGAACTGCACTCCAAGGGGAGGGCTGGGGGAACAGAGGAAAACTCGACCCCACCTAGCTTGTTCTCCATTCTTTTCCTTCTGCCTCAAGGGAGGTGGGGAATCATGGTACTAATCAACGATTAATGGTAGCTAGCTTTCCTTTAAATCCACGCATATTACACTTTGGAGATTATTATTTGTAGTCTGTAATAAAATGCAGTGGTATATATTGAACTGTATCCCCAGGGAAAAATCTAAACAAGCAGTATTTTCAAGCTAAAACATTGTTCAGGTGTCCAAGTTGTATACAATTCCCTTGTTGCCACAACTTTTCACTCCCACCAAATATCATAAAAGTATGAGCATAAAGGATACCTGTCCAAAGTTTCCCAGAAGCGTAGAAATACTGGCCTGTCCAAGTGTCTTTTGTGGTAGCTTAGTTCTAACACTGTTACATCCCATTTCTGTACATTTGGATCCAGACGTACTTCGTCATATTTGAGATGAAAAGCTTTAACTACAGGAAACAAGAAACCATTCAGTGTACAAACATGATGATTTTACAGTGTTTAATTATTAGTCCAAGAGAATTCCCACTCCTCTTTTTTCAAAATAGAGCCTGAGAACAAAATTAATGAGCCCATCCCTCAAGAAAGTCAACTAGTTAAATAAAGGGCACTGAGCTAAATACAGCAGCCGGTGGCCACTATCAGGCTCTCGTGCTATTACAGGTTTAAGTGCAAGGGCAGCCCCTATTTTTAGATGCATAGATTCCAGCAGGACAGCAGAAACTCATTGTCAATTCAAGCACATTTTCTTTGGGAAATCAAGATGTGTTTTCTGAAAATCTTTGAACTGTCCAAGAATTAAAAAACAACACAAAACAAAAACAAAAACCAAAACCAACAAGACAAGTAATTTCTGAGACCACTGAGAAGGAAGCCTGGCTATTTCCTGGAAGTCTGCATAGAAGACTGATAGCAGAATGCCAGTGCAACTCCCAAATGCTACATGAAATGTTCTGAGAAATTTAGTAACTGCCAATTTCCCCTGATCTAGTACTCAGTTAAAAATGGTAAAATATTAACAGTTATTTTGCTCTTGGGAAGTATTGTCATGTATGAATTATGTAAAGCCTAAGCATTAACACAGCAGGTATTAAAAATCTTGTGATTCTTCTCGATTTCCTTAGCTGAAGCATAGTTTTGACACATAATCCAGTGCAAAGTATTTAAGTCCTGTAGAATTCCTATCTGGTAACCAATTTGATGCATTTTTTATTTTGGATATTATTGGAGAAGTAAAGCAGAAGCATTTGACTAGGCTTCTGGAAACTAGTTATTTTTAATACCATGGTGACATCTTTTCAGGTACCACCTCTTCATTTTTTCTTCCACAAAATCCACCTACAGTTTTAGCCCAATGGCTAAAATAAATGAATGAATAAATCAATCAGTCCTCTTTTGCAGATACAGGTCAATCTATAAAATGATATATCTAGGAGTTTCCTAGAAGAGTGCTATCTGAAATTAGTTTGTTAATTAAAAAAAAAAAGCTAAAGAAGTGATCATCTGGCTTGTACCACTGCCAGATAAATTTCCACGCTTTGTGACTGAAAACTAAGAATACACATACATTATCTTTGCTATACAATGTCGCATGTTTTAAAATAACTCCAGAGAAAGCAAATAAAGATATACCTGGGCTACGCATTTACAGAAAGCTTAACACCTGACAGAGCCTCTGCATTAAGGTTAAATGATATTGAGCAGAAGACAATCCACTTCTGAATATGAAACAAATCAGTATTCAAGTGCACTAATGTGCTCTAGCGGCAAGACCTTTAAAATGGTATTCAAAATTAAGTATTTGTTCATTAAGGTGACATAATTCAAAATTTCACCTCAAACATTCACTTGCAGATGCAAAAATAAGCTTGTTTGCTACCTGAATATGAAACACTCAGACCATGTGTAAAGAAAACTAAGGAGAACAATTTTAGAGATGGAACTAACAAGATGCTACTTGACATCGCAATTGAGCAAATAAAACTAGTTTGACAGGCTCTGGTCCAATACAAATTTTATTGAGGAATTCTTTACAGAAAGCTGCCTGCTTGTTTTCCAAAATGACAGTGATAAGCTTTGAATACTTGTTAATCACTACAGAGTCAGTGACTTACATGGAGAAACGCAAACTGCACAAGAAACAAAGAACTGTCGCAGATCCCAGAAACCACATTTATGAAGACTACTGAAGACTATAAATGTGGGCCAAGCGATAACTTCAGGAAAAGGTAAACACATACAACCAGACTGATGTTGCCTGTGTTCTCTCTGTTTACACTGTTTTTATTTTAAGGAGCGAGTAAAGTCATTAGGAAAAGCCCTAGAGATACTCTTATCAGGAAAATTTAAAAATGTCTCAATTTGAAACAACGGAAAGCATTTCTAAAATTTAAAAAGGTCCATTTCAATGTATCTTTAAGAGTGAAGTAAGAACAGACATCCTTCTTTCACTTGAAAAAATGTAAGAATTTGTACACCTTCAGACTGAACTACAGCAGGCTACGATTTTGATCCTTTGGCAGAGCAAAGACTTTAAAAATGTCAAAGCATGTCATAACAATTCCTAAGGCCCTCTACATATTTATATATACATGATGTTAAAATTAATAGGAACTAGCATGCAACTACTAGCTAGACCTTAAATATTTAACAGCATTTTTCTTGGGTTTGCTTTTCACAATTTCCATTTTCTCTATACCTTCATTTTGAAGTGTTACTTTCATTAGTCTCTTTTGTTAAACTCTCTCCTGTGGTGTATTTTTTCTTTTACATTGACTTTCAGGCTCCTTCACCCTCTCCTTGTTCATTCTCCGCCCCCGCCCTTAGGCAACTCATTCTGTTTTCATGTTCAATACATCCTTAGCCTTCTGTCCAACCATTTTCCTTTTTTGTTCCTTAGCAAACTAGCATTCTCTTTCCACCTTCTACTTCACATACAGAATATGCGCACATATAAAACCTGATCAAACTTGTTTCCTCATCACATTGACTGGAAAATGACAGACTGAACTAAGGTGGTTTTTTAGGTTTTTTTTGTTTGGCTTTTTTTTTTTCCTTTTGTGTGTATGCGTTGGTTTGGGTTTTTGTGTTTTGGTTTTTTTAAATCTGTAGTTCAGAAACCACTGGACAGTATAAAAAGGTCTATTTTCTAAGGCAGCTTCCCAATGAAGCAACAGAGAACAGACGCTGACAGTTTCTTTAGATATTATCGCACACCTTACAGTCAGAAGAGTGAACTGTGCAAGAAAAGTGCAGTGTGTCTCAAAGCATACTGGGCATAATTGTGATAACGCAAAAAATCTCTTCAGATCTATACAGTGGTAACATCTAGCTCACAACTTAAAAATATTTCTATCTTATTAAACTTTCAAGTTTTTGTCAGATACCAGATCATATTTGTAAAGCTTTCTTAGTGAAATACTAGGCGATTAATCCTCTGTTCAAAGTAGTAATGAAATCTGAAGACAGCCTGTAAACCTGTTATCTATGAAGTGTTATAATATACATTGTCTTTTCATCTTTTTTTAGAAGCTTTGAAAGTAAATTTATACATTATCTATTTCTGAATCTCTTGTAAAGATGACAGCTCTAAGAAGATTTCTGTGAGCTTCTGTGGGTCAGAACAGAAGAACGTCAGAGGGCACATTAATATTTGCCATCTGTGTGAAGACCCAAGCCCCTGTCTTCTCAACCACCCGCGTCCAACACCACTTTGGCAGTACTTGGCAGTACTTTGCCATCAGCATAAACACCCCACAAAAAACCCCAATGAGAATAACAAATACCAAAACACTTAAAAACAACACCCCCGCCCCCTTACTTTTAGCAAAGATATCAACAGGAGATCCGTCAGGCAAGAGCCAAGGCCAGCCTTTGAACTGCCAAGCAGGACCCTGTACAAACACTGCCACCACACGATCCCTACGAACACAGAAAGATATGGACATGTTGATGGCCTTGAACATTGGAATTACATGCTTTCTTAAACAGGCAATATACCTTAGCATAGTTTCTTATTTGAGTAACAGCAGTATAGCACATTTAACAACCACATCTGCAGCACAACTGCTTTTTCTATTAGGCAAAAAAAAAAATTAATGGGACTTTTCTGGACTTTTAGCTCTGTCCCTTTGCACAATGCTGCTCAGTTTCTCATGTTACATTTCAGTGTTTATTTCTGGTTGTGATTACTTTGCTTTTAAAAAGTGCTCCAGCATTTTAGAGATGATCTTCTATGAACACTGTAAACTGAGATGTATCAATTCAAAAGCCTTTATTCTGAATACTGTTAACTTCTATTCTAAAAATTTATTAGAAGACACAGCTGCTAAATTTCTGCAAAGTGCATCATTTATTGTAAGGGTATGTAACCGTGACCTGCAGTCTAAGAAAATAAATTTGTGATTAAGGTGAAGCTTTTACATTAATAAAATTTAAAAAACCTTTGAGAACAAATGACCTCCCTATCTATCTATCTAATGGTCTATCTATTTCTTGAACATTTACATCATCCAACCATGATTCCTACCTACTACTGCAAATAACTATCTCCCTAATCTAATCCCCAAATTTAACTTATCGTAAAGTCTACCAAATTCCAAATGGAATTGGGAATTTTGGGTTTGTTTTTTTTAAAAGACAGACTAAAACTTTGCCATTTAAAATGATGTTGCAGGCTTTTTTTCTGTTAGCCATTACAAACCCAGCTGCAACATGTTTCTAGATAGTAGTATCTGATTCTCCCTTGGAGAAAAACAAGCTAAATAACCCACACCACTTCATCTCTTTGGTAGGAAGCACTTTAGGAACCATTTTAGATGGTTCTTAAAGGTTTGATCATTAAACATTTTAAATGCTATTTAATATTTAGCATTTCAAAACCATGGATTTCTGATTAGTTCCAAGTTCTCAATGTACAGAACAATTAATTTGGACAGGACCTTTCCAAAGTATTCCTCTTCATTAAAATCTACTTTGGAAGTTACAAAACCACCAAAAATGTCATCGTGCATGTCTAGAATCTTCACACTTGTGAGGAAGAAGTAAAAATGTAGCCTAATTCATTACATCAAATAACAAAGAGATGTTTCTCCAGAACTTCCCTGCTTAAAAATAAATATTTTTTCATAGCATTGAAGAATGGGCTACAGACAAAATAATCTGTTTCCAGCTTTTCTTAAAAATAAAAGCTACCTATGATTCCCTTTCCCCAACTGGGTCTTTGCCTTCAGAAGTAAGCTTGCATCACTGAATCCAGTTCAACAAATCTGACTGAATACTAAAATCACAGTTCAGTCTTTACTGTCTGATGTGTTTTCTTTCTTTCTTAAACAATTAAAAAAAAGCTAGAATGTCAGATGCTGAAGGCCTGCAAACATATCTTCCCAATAGACTCTCATTCAGAAAGCAGACAAGAAAGGAGGATTTTTCTCTCAGATCACGTTTTACTGGCTTGCACACTACAGTATCACAAACCAGAAAACTAATATGAATATTCTTATTTCAGTTTTTTGAACATTTCAGGCAAACCTAATAAAATTAGCTGTGCTGTTAAAATATAGTGTGTTGCGATTTCTTAAGACCTTTTAAAAAAGTTTAGTTTCATATTATTTTCACCTGAAGACTCCTATACAGTTAATAATCAAATCCATTCTTATAGCCTTATCTTTATTTTTTAGTGAATTTAGTAGCATTTTATGGTCCCCTCCAAATTTTGCATTCTCCTGGTTAAGATATTTTATAAAGGGGAAATCTGTCTTACCAGTCTTGTGGCATAAGTTTCAGAGGTTGGTCTACTACTCGATAAGGTACAGTAACACTAACTGTAGTTCCCCCAGGCTGCATCTGGTCCTTCCTTCTCTGTATTAAAGTTTCATTCTCTCGTTGACAGCCTTGTTTCTTCTTTTCATCCGATGGTACAAACCTTGGGGAATAAAGAAACATTCAGTGGACAAAAGCAATTTATTTGATGTAATCAGCAGAAAAAGTAACCACTTTATCAGAACTTTGCATTATTGGCAACAGTCACTGCAGCCATCTCATTTTCACTATGCCAAGCCTCCATCACTACTCATTCAGAACAGCAAAAAATATGAGAATGATATTTCATAAGCCCTTATGATAAAAACCGTCATACTGGAAAGGTCCTCTGCCCCTCAAAACTACAGCCTGATCTGTTCTTAAAGATTCATGGCATTCCTTGCCTACCTTACCCAGTTCATTTGCAGATGAGGAGCCATATCACAACCTGCTAAACAGCTGTAACTCATTCTTTTTAGTGATCAAGGGTAGCATGGGGAAGCTTGGGCACTAAGAAACAATTGCTTCCTCGAGCAAATTTTAGAGCTCTTGCTCTTGCAGCCATCAGAATTACATTTTCTCAAGAAAGCTGGATTTTTGGTAAAAAACCTTTTTGAGTGAGGTTTTATTTTTTGGATGATGATTTTACATTATCAATGATTCAACTGGTTACTATGATGTACGATACTACAATTGTGTTGCTTTTGTTTTGGTTTGGTTTTCTAAATAGCTTCTCTGATAGATTAAGTGCTCAGAAAGTAAGGATAATGTGATCCTCATGTCTTATGTAATCTCCATATGACAAAAATAAATGCTTAAGATGCAACCCCCCCTCCAAATGAATTACAGATCTTTTATTTTTCAGCCACCCACCTTAAAAAAAAAAAGGCAATTCCATTTCAAGAGACTCTTTATGGTGGTCATAAAATACACAGAACAGTTCTCAAAATTGGCATCCCAAGTGTCAGAGTACTGTAAGCCTTTTTACTGATGAATCTCAGTGGATTTTGTAAAAAGGAAAGAGAATAACATCATGCATTTTCTAGAACTGAAACTATGTCACAGAAAGGTAAGTTGATGCGACCAGTACCACCTAGGAGGCCAGCAAAAGAGCAGAGCTGAGACCCGTGTTCTAATACTCTATTCAGAACCACCCAGCTGCACTACTAACACTGTTTGCCACTGACATTTCATTTCCAAAACTTCTGATAAAAAGAAACACTCTGTTTCATTGAACTGCAAAACTTATAACGAGTATTGGTGCTACATTTAACAAACACAGTACTCTATATAATTGGTAAGATTTCTCTTCATTATAGTACAGACTGTGCTTTTTAAAAGTTCATTACATTTTTCGGGTAAGTTGTTTGCACCATTTCTATTTGTTCTCTTCAACCTACTTCTGTTTGAATACTAAAAACCAATTCAAATGTGCTTAAACAGGCAGACTGCACTTCCTATTGCTGGAAAAATAGAAGAAAAGGAATGAAAAATGAAATATGAGGAAGAGTTTGTTATTGAGTCAACTTGAAAATGCTAGTTTTTGCTAACATCTTATATCCAGTCAGAAATGGCATTTTGGGGGAAAAAAACCCCAAACAAGCATGTTTTAAGGCAGCACGTGGAAACTGTCAATAAACCTTCAAGCAAAACTATTTTACTTTCTTAACATAAACAAACAGATGAACCGCCCTTATACTCCTTATGATTTAACAGTGTTTCAAAACCAGAAAGTCACAACCAATTTCTGAAGTGTGCGTCCAAATGCATACAACTGCACTGGAAAATAAAAAAAAACAAACTGCAAACAACTATGAATTGTGCATTAAGGTTGGCTAGTATTGCAAATACAGAAAAAGCATTACAGATGTTAAATGCTAAGCTATAAATCAAATTACGCTTATCTGCCTAGTACATGTAAAACACCACCATTCTAAATAAAATACAGACAAGAAAGCTATACAGGATACACTGGGAAAAAGTACACTTAGGCCACCTAGAATATTATTAAAAAAAAATGTTAAGACAGCCATTTCACCAATAATTAAAATAATTAGAAAACAGTTAATATTTACATATATTTTATCTTCCACAACCAACACATACAATTGCATTGTACACAGAAGCATTCAACACAGTTCTACTCTGAAAAAAGCTACCAAACATGGCTTCAGAATTAAGTATTTTTAGTCAAGTTGCTAATTTAAAAACTCAGAAGTGAGATGCAACTTTAATCAATAGCGTACCTAATGCCCTGTCGTACCAACAGGTTGCAGGTTTTGCTTTGGCAATACTAACTGATAGGAAACTGTATTTTATAACTCAAAATGAAGGTTTGCTTGGTGGTCATGAGCTTTTAGGGAAACCATGCATGAGTCTCTCCTCACCCATCAGAACTAAGGAATCTGGGCTAGAAAGATGGAAATTATTTTTTTTTTAAATAATTTTTAAAGTTACAAAAAAAACCTCAAACACCTTTCACCCAAGTGGCAAGGTCTATATGAAAAGCCAGGATCCCCTAAAATGGTAGAAAGCTTGAGAAGAATTTTGTTCTTTATTACATGTCCCATGTACTAAATGAGAACAAACTCTTACAGAATATGTAAATAAAAACCAAACAGCCATACATACATTATAGTGATAATCAAATATTCATATGAACAGCAATCTAAAAGGTCACAATTTTAATTGGTAAATGTGAGGAAGTAAACACATTTTAAATGGAAACAGGAAACCTACTCCCCCCCCACCCGCCCCGCCAAATTAAGACAAGAGGCAATATTACTATTCCAGAGTCTAAGAATTTCAACACTATATCTGAGACCCCTCGGATTTGGCCAAAACAGGCATTCTCAATTCTACTTCTAGCTTTAAATGTTTCTGTATTTAAGAATTTATTTCAGCACCAGTTTATTAACAGTTTCTCTCCACTTGAGCTAGAAACTCTGTTACAGCCATTAAGGCACCATTCGGATGTGCCTCAGTTATGTATCTTCTAGACAACAGCTTCAGTTTTATTTACTGTAAAAATCTGAATTTTTTGAATGCCTTTCTCCAGGACAGAACACAAAGTATCTTATCTGATTTTTCTGAAGAAAAAAAAATATCAATGAGCAGATTCACATGGAACAGTAGAGAAGATGACTGTCAAAGAAAGCACTGAAGGAAATGCTTACATATGTGTAGACACACAGAGTACAGGAATAAATGACAGCTTACAGAAAGTTTATGAAATATATGCTTACATTTCCAGGAACTATTGATTCAGTAAGTATAATAAAAGCCATATACTCAAGAATTGAGAATCAATAGAAATTACTGTATGATTAATAAATATAATCATGGCTTACTCCATCACTACCTGGACATAAAAGACAAACTTAAGAAATCTAAGTATTAAAGAAAACACCAAAAAACTAATCTTCTCTTGGAAATTATTTGCCACAATACCATAGCTAGTGGCTTAACTACACATTCGTACTTGACACCTTTTTAATCATCCAATACACTAGAAAAGTGTTCTGAAACCTGATTCTGCAGGAGCTTACTTTTTTTGTTGCCTCTCCAGATTACTATTCCCTAATAAAAAAAAAAATTCCACATCTACTCAGAATCCATTTTTAGACCCCTACTAGGAAATTAATAGCACTTAATTCTCTTGCTGTTAATTGCCAAAATCATTATCCACATAAAACCTGGTGCGCTCTCTCACTTTACAAGGACAGCAGGTCCCCTTTCTAGGGTAATAGGTAAGTGCTTGAACAAGACCAGTTATGGCAGTAACTGGTAAGGACTTATCCACTGAACTGCCAGGGCGGCTCCTGTCTGGGCTCAAAACTCACATCAATTGCTACCATTACCTAAAACACTTCCACAGAGGTCAGGTCAGCACTTTCTGGCCCGCAGCTCAGGCATACTGAAAAATGCATGAACAGAGAATAAGGCAACTCCAGTGCTGGACAGTAACAGAGATCACCATAATACACATTTGATTGTGTTTAGAACAGAAGATTTATTTTTACAACCCTCTCAATATTTTTGTTAGCTGACAGAATCAAAAGCTTCATACACCTATTTTTGCAAGAGAACAAAGCTTTCTTTTGTAATACATCATCCCTGAATCTTTCAGATAGTTTGCTCTGTATCAAAGCTGGATAAATCTCAGTGAGTTGCCTGGCCACATATGGTGAAACATGAGTAAAAGCATCATCATAATAAAAAAACACAATCATCATCTAATCATTTACATCTGCTTTATATAATTCCTGCCTTGCTTCTGTTCCATGTAAAGCAGAAGCATTGCCTCTGAAAAGCCTAACTTCAGATATTCTCAAATACTTAGTCTGGAAAAGCAGATTTTATGCAATAATTATGATATCCAGTGTTGCATTCAGATAGTGACTAAGAATAAAGTGTATTATATGAAATATTTTTTAAGAAGCTTCACAATATACCATAAAGTATTGCAGTTCTGATTTTAAATGAAATTATCTCTTTTTAATATTTTAGAAACTCTTCTTTTTTTTATCTTGTACTTGGCTCCTTAGAAAAATAACCTTTCAAAAAAAGGTTATAAGAATAGTTGCATATTATATAGCACATGAATTGTATATATTACAATCACATATAAAAATGTCCCTCCACAAAATCTAAGTTGCAACAAATGTATCCAACACACAAATTAGATATCTTAAAAAAAAAAAATCTTAAACCAGTAACATGCTTCCGATTTATCATTATAATTTCAATCTACTCGTGATAGCTTTCCTGCTTTCCATATTCTCTACCTCAAAGGAGTGCATAACGTTAGTGATGAATTAAAGATGCTAAGCATCATACAGATGCCAGCCAAATTTGGCAAGAAACCCCCCTCCCACAACATACTAGAGCTACGAAAAGGCTTACTAAAAATCTGGTATAATTAATAAGTTTCTCTGAGACCTTGACAACTGAATTTAACACCTACCATAGTACCTGATGAAAACTGTCCTGTTTATTTTACAAGAAACAACCTAATATATCTGCCAATGATACCGCAATCACTACTTTTTCTCACATCCAAAGTGACAGCGCATTGCAGTCGTTACTGACAAAAAAAAAAAATCCAGCATCCTAGACAAAAACTATCCTAAAAGATGGGAATTCCTAGCTACGATTAACTTTTGATTTTAAGTGGTTTGATCTCTAACAATAATTTCAGCTAACTCTGTTCCTTATTTTAAAAAACCTTTAGATGGTGGGAATCACAAAAGTTGGTTTTATTTATGAAACCCAAATACTCATTCTTTATTATCACACACTTCACAGAACTGTGCTGCCTCAGGTATCAGGCATGGAAGAAAAAGTTGCCCTGTAAATAGCCCATGTCACATGTGCATCAGTCACAGCTTCCATACCCTAACAATCCTGGGGCCTCGTTCTCCCAGGGTTCTCCTGCATTTCTTAGCAGTCCCCCCTGTAATGGCTCTTACTCTTCCATTCCAAAAATCCCTTCTCCTTGTGCTGTATCATTGGTCTCCTCTGATGGCTAATACAAGCAGGCCGATTATCTCTAAAATTACAAGAAACTAAAATCTCCCTGCATGTTCCTCAGCAGGGGTAAGGAAGGGAGTATTACTTTGGGTGTGTCTTTTCTATCTGCACAATATTTCTTTATTCCAAAACTTTTGGCAAGGACATGTCTTCCAAATCTCTACTGTTCTGACAAATTTAGCTGAAAGTGGGGAAAGAGAGGCGATGACTTAGAGGTAGAAATTATATAAGTCTTCTTTCCTTGGAAAACCATCACATATCTATCAATCACACTCTACATCAAGGCTAGTTCTACACTCTGCATACCTGAACAGTAAAAACAAACCCTGCAGCCATTCCTAAACAAACTACTCCAATAAATTTGAATGCAAAAAAAATACAGGCCAGGTGGCATATTTTCAAGAAAAGTGCTAGAACTGTCATGGCTAAATTAATATTTTGCTATTCTGAACTCTGCTATTGCAATTCTGATTCATTAACATACCTTGCTTCTTCACTTTGTCTTTCATACTTGTTAATTACAACAGTGTCCTCCCTTGAACTCTTAAACTTAATTTCATTTTTTTTCTGGATGACAGTCTTTGCACTTCAATGATCAGCCTTCTCTTGGGGCAGGTCTTGAGAAGTTAACTGTAGCTCCGCCCCAGTGGAGCTGAAAACCGTGCAAGCCTCCTAGCACAGATACACTTACACATGACATATAGGTGCTTTATTCCATTGTAGGTATTCCTGTACCAGGAAATCACAAGTTACATAGATGTAAAAATCCAAGGCTGGCAGCTGTGAAATTTTTTCTTAAATATAGAAACTCACATAAACAAGCAACATCCTCTGTCAACACAATTGTATCAGTCCAGTGACTGCTTGCACATTAAACTATAATGTTAAAAGCCAGCCTTCTCTCCGATTAAATATTTTGGAAGAGGCACCAAGAGTCCCGTATGCTTACTGCATCTTTGATGAAATCGGGCAGTGATCTAGGAACTAGAAATAGCTGGAGATCAGAAGGCACCTGGTATCTCACAGCACAGTTTAAAAAAAATTCTAGGTCAATTCCAGTGAAAGCTGTAGCACCACAATAAAGACAGCCCATTTTTGAAGAAAAGCAGCGTATAGTCTCATAAAGGACAAGCAAAGTGCTGAAGGTGGAAGAAAGAAGAGCTCTCCATTTTTTGAACATACCATTGCAGACAATCTATAACAGTGTATTTCTCTGTGAAAATGTCTGTTTCAGAAAAATTAACTGATATTAACCAATAGGCAACTCTTAAATACCATGATCTGTTGGACAAGCAAAAATATTATTTTTTTTCACCATAATAGTGAATTTTACCTTACCACAAAGAAAGTAATTTGCAGTGCTGATTGCATTCAGCCATAATGAATTAATTCTTAGAATCGGATGTGTGATGCAATAAACAAATTTTAGCAATTCATTAATTCCTCTCAATGAATTTGCATCAATACTTAATGATAATGCTTTATTCTTATTTTTGTTGTATGTGAAATTAAAAAAACTTCTTTATTTGCACAACCAGTTGACCCGCGTAGCTGATACAGCTGTTTACTGGGGGCCACCCTCCACTCACCTTCTCCTTTAGTTACCTGTGGTCATTTCCCAAAAACTTTTCTGAGCTCCATGAGCACACTGCCCTTGCTCATCTCCTCTAAGTCTTCCTCCATTGTAAGGGTTCGTTGATCGGTTGCATATGTGTACATTTGTGTTACATAAAAGAAAACCACTACAGAGATGGAATCGTAAGACTTTCTGCTCAATCTGCCCATTTGGCCCGCAAGTCACAACTGTGCAAAAACTCTGAAAATCATTTGTTGCTTTTTTCCTACTGTTCAAGAGGTATTAATTTCTTTTATACTCTGTCTGTAAGGCTAGCTTGTCACAAGACAGTAGATACTCCCTCTTGCTTAATTACTAATTTGGTAGTAGTATACCTTTACATCTGAAAACAGTTCTTTATACAGTATGTTCTAATCAGCTACTTACTTCAGATCTTGCAGAAGGTCCTTTGCATTAAGCATTGTTATTAAAGAGGTCGTTGCTGCTGGAATAATGATTATGGGAGTTCGAGATCCTGTAGAAATAATAAAGTTACATTTGCCTGTGTTTTTTTTTTCTGTTGTGGTTTCTGTGGATTTTTTTAATTTTATGTTTTTTAAATCACCCCCCTCCCCCCTTAAAGGAACTGTACATAAAAACAAAACTCTTGCTTAACAGATCAAAATAACAGATATTCAAGAAAAATTGTAGTATATCTTTTCTAAACTGACGGTTTTCATTCATCAAAAAAAGTGTACCCTTGTATCAGGAGTCTCTAAATACGGGTAGGACCCATATTTAGCTCAACAGAACGATGTCTGCATTCCAGTGTTCGTTTATATAGTTGCTTGTGGTTCCAGCAAAAGATAGAGTGGGCACAATTCACACAAAAATGAAAAGGATAGTGTAACTAAAATTGACTCACCTTTTTTCTGGTTTGGAGGTGGTCTTGCTTGAGAAACTGAAGAAAAAAAAAACCCACAGAAAATTTGGCAGAACGACTAATACATAAATACAAATGTCATTGCAAGGCAACATTTCAATGTTTTTAGTTGCAGAAGCAAACAGAGAAGGGTCACACTATAGTCATTAGATCATTTTCACAGATGCAATACACAAAGTTGAAGAAGGGATTTATAATTTGGGTCTAAGTATTCAGAAGACAAACAGCTTTTGACAGTGAAACAGATGTTAGGACAGTTGAGTCAATCTCTCCTAATTTTACTGAAACTAGTCATCCCTCTCTAACTTCCTCAAAAGGCTGGGGCACTATAGCATTGACAAAAATGCCTGCAATCTTGAAAAAAGCTGCTTGTAGATCTTAAGTTCCATAGTGCTGAATCAACAGGAAGACTGTTTCACGGCAAACTAATCTTTACAGACCCTCACCTTTTCATTAGTAGTTCATCAAACAAACAGTTTCAACAATCAAAGTCTGAATTTCAGGCTTACTCAAGTTAATTTTCGATTGCAGTTTGAGTTACATGAGCTCTTTGAGTGCCAGAAACAGTGAAACATGACAGATATGGTAGCACTGAAGCAAAAAACCCCCCAAAACCCAAAAAAACAACAAAAAAACCCCAAACCACCAAATAAACACACACAAACATACATACTGGCCAGACAGAAACCAAAGAATTTTGCACTACTGCCCCCCCCGCCCCCTAATAAAATATTCCCACTTCAGTCTTCCCAGTTGTGACCTCCTCAATATGGGAGATACTTCAGTTCAAAGTTGAAAAGGCATATATATTCATCACTTTGGTGCTATTACTGAATAACTTGGCTTCCTCCAAATAAACATTTTATAGTTCAGTTCTCAGGAGGCCTAACTTAAGGAAAGAACTGTTGAGCTTGATAATTATCACCATGTGTGTTTATCCTAATTCACAAAATCAGAAAATGGTGAGTAGTAGAAAGATTCATGCAGACTAACTCAAGTCTCAACTGCTACTATGCATGACAAATTTCATTAATTGACTTCCAATTTCATAGCACCAACTTGCTCATGTTTATTTATGACCAACTGTTTCGGAAACTTCCTAGAACAGTGTAAATATTCACAACACATAGTTGCCATTGTTGAAATATTGAGACTGTATCCTTAATTATCTTTTCCTGACGCTGTCAAATGCACAGATATAATTGGCAACACTATATTCAACTACATGAACTTTACCTACTAAATGATTTTTAAATTTTTTAAATTTTTATTATTTTTAAATCTAGGTATCTCCTTAATGTAAAAAACTTCCTGAAATACACGGGTAGCATGAGCTGCCCTAAAAAAAAAAAAAAAAAAAAAGGGGGTGGGGGGGCAGGTTGGAATAAAAGCATCTGTAACAAATTTGCCAGCTGTACCAAGCCAGGTTAGTAGAAAAGCTGGCACTGCAGAAAGGTGCAGAAAAAACCCCACCACATCACCTTAAATTAAAAGCACATCTATTTTTTCAAATCAGTACTGTACAACTATTTTGACCAATTCAACTAACACTTCTTATGTGCAAAGCAGCATCCTCCTGGAAATTGCATGTCTTAAGTACTTTGACTGCTAAGAACAGAACAATTGATTTCTTAAAATCTCCAAACTCCTAAATATCCTAGAACAGGTAGAAAGCGTTGGTTTGGGGGTTTTTTTTGGGTTTTGGTTTGGGTTTTTTTTGAATGAAGCAGTATATACTTTCTTCAGATTATACCTCTCCTCTCTATTCTCTCTTCAACTTACAATACAGAGGCAAGATAATGGATTAGATGGGCTTTAGAGAAGGCCAAGATCAGTATAACCTATATAAGGTACCAAAAAAGAGACTTCTGCCAGTTAATGCCCATGAAGTCACAGCTAGCAGTAGGGACCTGTGACAACTCAGTCAGATTTCTCTTCTTGCCACTTCTACCCTTTTCATACTGCTGTCTGTCAACTCCATTTGCATTATTATGCCTAACAGGGCTAGTGAGATAAGTATGACAGGCAGTATGACCTTTCTAGTATCAAAATAACCAAACAGAAGAATCTGTGCACAACAGCATTTAGACATGCTGAGAATATTCAATATTAGAATAGATTTTTGGGGACAAATCATTTTTACAATATTAAAGTCTTAGCATTAAATCCTACTAATAAATCTCAAGGAATTAGCAAGGCATGCATTGAAAGCATTTAGTAGTCTCAACAGGAATATACAATACTCCAACAGTACTTCTAGGAAAAGTATATTCATTTTAAAAGGTGGCTTTTGTTTCCAAAAAAAAAAAAGTCCCCTTTCCAATATCTTCAAAACAACAATAACCATCATTATGTTCTTAAAACAACCCTTCCACTTAAGACTTTCTTCCACCAAACCAGAAATTCTCACAGTATGTAAACTAGGTGCAGACATGCACATAGCTGTTCAGAAACACTGGTCCTCCCATATACTGTCTGTACTCTTACATGCTTTTAAAAACTCTTTCTAAGGGTTTCTCATTAAAACAAAACAAAGTACCTGTATCATTCTATCTTTGAATCTCAATTTGAGATTCAATTTGACATACAAAATGGACTTGGTAGCTGGAGTCTACTAACTGGGAATTAGAAAGCCAGTTGAGGATTCTGGCCCCATTACAAATACTTCTTCACACTTCTTAGCACATAAGGTAATGATAACACATTCACAGAAAGACTTATTTCTGATATATTAATAACAGAAGTAATAAAATATCTCTTTTTGAGATTAGCTTTTCTATTTAGGTTGTTTCACCTTGGAGTATTAAGCAGCTCTTACTATATATTTGATCTGGCATTTGTGAACTACCAAGCTGACAACGAAGAAGTTCATCACTTTTTATTTTCACTAGTGCATCCTTTCAATGACCTAATTGGGCAACACACTGAAGAAAACGAACCCAAGTGCCGTGGTATAACATTAATCAAAAAGTTATGTGTTATTTCCAATACACATGCAGTTAAAGGCCACAAGTAAACGATCCCCACTTCATTCTTCGGCTAACTAAACTTTTAAATAGTACTTGTTTGAAACTCAAGACTTATTTGGAAGACAAGCACAAACAGTAGTAGGCTACCTTACCTGGTCGTGGTACGGGCTGTGCTGCTGGAGTTTGTGTTTTTCGAGCAGAAGCACCTTCCTTTTAAAAGACAGAAGAGGTAATATTAACAGCTGGCCTTCTTGTCAGGTACATGGTTTTTTTAAATGAACACAGAGCTACAGAGTATCATGAAAATTAAGGCAATACATGTCCATTAAAGAGAAGAAAGAAAATACTGTAAATATTCAAAACTCTTTACAGATTCTGGTTTAGATTTGGGGGGGACAGACAACCTCATAAGCTTTCACAGATTTACATTTTAACCATCAAATGCCAATCAAACTTTTTTTCTATATGCAAAGAAACCTTTTCTATTTATAGTATTGTTTCTTTCTCACCTATGATCACTTTCACCAAGGATTAGTAATGTAATATAGCAATTGGCTACAGAAATTTCAAAACAAGATCTGTTTGTGCTCTGGATGGAAAACTAGGACCAAGAAATTGCAACGCATTCCCGCCTTGAAGAGTTTTAGTGCCCAGAAATAGCGCACTCGTGATAATTAGTTCTGCTCGTGCTTTATCCAATTACCTTAATGTAACAAGCAAAAGACCTGCACTACTATTTATTCTCGTTAACTCTGCAGAGTCAACACACCACATAAGAGAACAGGGAGGTCACACATGCCTGGTTCCAAAGCAACACTGAATTCCTGCAAGAATAAATTCTGTTCTCAGTTACTGCTGTGAAACCTCACTGAACAAAACATACATTATTAACAATATTACTAACACTGTAAAAAAATTGCTATGTATTCCAGCCGCTTCAATTTGCAAGGCTGACAGAAAACCTTTTCACATGAAACCATGACTTTTATCTGAAAATTACTTAAACGCTACATGAAGTGTATCCTACAACTGTGAGACACTCAGAAAGGTCAGAGATCCCACTCTGGGAAAAAGCTGTTGGAAAGGCCTCAATATGGCATTATCACATTTGTATGTCCATGCGTAAATAACAGTATGTTTTGTAATTCAAAATAAAAAACCTCATGAGCAAGGGATTACATACAAGCAACCTCAAATTCCATGATTTAATATTAAATAAACTTAAAGAAACAGCTTTTAAGTTCCACCATGAAAGTTAAAACTTTTTTTACCTCAAGAACTGTGAAGTACAAACAGAAGAGAAGACCACTTGACAAGCCCTTAGAAAACACAAATTTACTTGATGTGTCTCTTCCCTGAGCTTTAATCAAAGCCACCCACGATTAGTGACAATAGGCTGGAGCTGACATTTGGTACAGTGTGCAGCTTTTGTCACGTTTACAGTCAGCAACCTCCTATTCATCTTCAGTATAAGGATTTCATCCCGCCTTGCAATAAATGGATTAATCCTGAATTTTGCTATACTCTTTTCTGAGTATTAGAACACCAACATCTATGTAGGACACTTGAGTCGGTAACTTTCATTTTAAGACCTTTTTAGCACCTGAGAAAAGATATTTTGGCCAATGTCCTCTCACAATAATTAATCAGAAAATGACCAAAATACCACACTCTAAAGGAAGAGCTGCAGGAAAGGCTGACTACCTTTGAAAGAAGCCTTCTGACTGAGAAACAGTAGTTATTTAAAACATCACCTTTCTTTTAGCCAAGAAAGTGGAAATAAAACATTTTGCATCTGTTTCTATAGAAAAATGTCACTTTCCGTGTGAAAAGCCTCGTTCTGTGGTGCACTAATTACACATTTTGAAGAAATACCAAGCATTCTCCCATAACATTTCCTTAAATTCACAGCACTTTATGAAATGGAAAGAAAAACATCAAGCTCAAGAAACGTCACTTCCTGCAATGCTAAGTTTCAGGTTTCTAAATCCAATTCAGTTTGCTTGCATGCTTCGTCTGCAGTCCCACACATCCACTCCTTTCCTCCCCTACAGAGTCAGTAACGCAACTTCTCTGTCTCCCCGTCCACTTCTCCAGTGCCTCCAATGTCTCAAACAGGCCCTGCAGGCCCTACGGCAGCTGCAGCGAAGGGAGGGAAACCAGGAGCTGCTTCAGAGATTCTAGAGTTTTTGAAAATTCTCAGAAAGAATTATAACCAAATTATAACCAAAGCCTTGCTTTGGTTTCCATATAGCTTGTGCTTGTGGTTTCTCTCTTCACCAAAACATCCATAAAGCACCAGAATATACATAGAATCAAGCTGAACAAAATAATGGGCAAATTTATCTATTTGGCAGTTTTTCCTACTTTCCCCTGAACTGTCTTCTCTACAGTGATTAATGGGAAACCTAGTGCAGAAGCCAACACACAAGAAGGCAGGTCTTGGAGAACACTGCAATTGAAACAAACAAAGTAACCCCAAAACAACAACAAAGTACATTAAAAAAAAAAATCACATGAAGATCTGATTAAAGGTAGGAAATAAATTAATTTAAGTGACTAGACACAAAAGACTGCTACCACTTCCATGCCTATGATCTTTCTATTTTTAAGAAGAATTTCTGCAAACCAATAAATGATGGAGGTCACGGCTTTTAGTTCCGTGAATCACTGCCTTAGACAGTGATAATTTCATGGATCAACTTCAGCTCACAACTCCCGATATTCTGGCATCTTGACACAGAAACTCAATTGTCACCTACTGAAGGTGTAACATCTCACAACTCCCGATATTCTGGCAACTTGACACAGACACTCAATTGTCACCTACTGAAGGTGTAACATCTCTCCTTTGTAACTGATTTACATCTCTTCTCTCTCCATGATTATCAGTGACCTAATCACCACCTTCTATTACGTAAAAACTGCAGACAATGTAGTAAAAGAATCTCTGATCAATATTTCAACCTCACATTTTTTCAACAGTTTGCAAGGAGAAAAGGATACTAGTAAGATGAGGAAAAAAACAAAAGTACAGAGCAGTGAAAGCTGACAAGATATACTAAGTGAAGAAGAAAACATGCTTTCAATAAGGAAGTCATTCGCAGGATAATTTTGCTAACATTTCACATTGTCCTGAAAACAAAAAGATGCTAAGTTTAGATATAAAATTAAGGCTTTTCAAAAGCATTCAGATAGAGATATAAGTTTTTCTATGACAACTCACTGATGTATGATACAAGCTCTGTTTACAAGGCAGGTATAGCCACAGAGAACTATATGCTAGGACTTCTCCCAGAGGAAAAGAAAATTAAGTTGACAGAGTAAACTTCATAGTTGGTTCATTCAGCTACACAAGGTAAGTGCTGCTGGTAATTTATGGTCCGTTAGGTGCTCGGAGGCTACTTCTCATTTGTGTGCTCTAACTCCTTGTAAAGACAATAGCTCATTTCTCAGTGAGCTTATCACAGTAAGGTATTTCAAGTCTTCTAATGTGAAGTTTTTAACGTAAAAGTTACTCAAGTAAGTAAGTAGCACGCTGCAAATTCAAACTCCAGTTAGGGGAGCTTCTGTTTGTGCAGCTGTACCCTAAGCATCAGAAGCAGCAGAAATCACTGTTTAGCTATTTCAAGAACATTCATTTCCTCAAAGTTTCTGAACACTTAACAGTTTTGCTTGAAGATGACATACCTAATTCTTATGCATAAGCCGTTTGAGACTGTTAAGGAGTTGATTATGAATATTCATAAGTTGAAACTAATTTAGTAACAAAACCATGTAATTTGAAAAATACAAATCTTCTTTAAGACGACCACTTAACATTGTACTTTAATCAAAAACATATTACTTGGTTTAGTTGTGCTAATTTACCATAGAAGGTTATATATAGTTTGCTTATGATTTACACTAAATATATGAGTATTTAACTATTCAAATGCAACAACCTGACACAGAATGAAATCAGGAAAACAGATACCGACAGCTTCATACTTTCCTGAATTTCACTGCATCATTTATAGATATACCGCTGTACATTTCCGTGGAATTCCTTCCATTTCAGTACTAGTGTTTCCTATCATATTAGACATTTACAAAATGTCTGTTTAATAACCGTTTTTATTTTAGTGTATGCCTTCTGCTATTTAGCATTGTCCTACCTAAACACCTGAAAATATTGGGTTCGCAAACCAACGCGTGAATAGCAAACAGATTAGTACCTGAGAAAAAAAATCCAGATTCTCACTTAGTCAAACACGGAAAAAAAAGCCCCACACCCTGAAGGACGACTGACTACTTCTATTATTGTACACCCTGGTAATTAAGCTTTTAGTGTGTTCTTTTCTTCCCTCATTCCTTCATACAATTTCTATGTTTGTCTTAAAAATTCAGACACTGCCATGTGCTCTGATCAGTTTTGTGAGGTCATAAACACAGTTTACAGTAACAAGAAGCTTTAGGACTATTGGTTGAAGTCCCTTAAATTTGTATGTTTTCTATACAGCTTATTTCAAACCTTTCCTTTCACATGTGCATTCATTTTCCCTTCCCTGCTTCTACATTATATAGGCAAGTTGCAACACATTATGAAGATGCAAATTGTTTAGAACATATTCTTACCACACTTGTCTGTCCTCCAATATATTGCATCCATTTTAATGTATTATTCAATCCATTTTAATGTAAAAAGTTCAACAACTTTTAAAAGATTTATTTCTTGCAATAGTAAGTCTGAGATATTCCATCTACGCAGATATCGAAAACTATCTAACAAAAAAAAAAAAGGAACCTACGGTCAATCTGTAGTTGTATTTAGTTACCCAACAGTGAAAGGTGTTTTGTTTTGTGTTTTTTTTTAAAACAGTTTTTAAAACCTTCTACAGTGTTTGTTGACCTTTAATTAAAGAACTAGATCTGTCCTTCTTTGTGTTAATTTGCAAAAGTCACCAATTGCCAATATTCATCTGATACCAGGACCCAACCAGTATTTTCCTGTATTTTAGAAAAAAAAAATAATCTATATTTTAGATCCCTAGTACTTTTCTTATGTCTAAATGAGCATTAACATCTACAGTTAAGTTACTTTCACTCATTTCTCAATTGAAATCAGAAATTGTTTGAATATAACTCATGCTATGTTTTAGGAAATGAACCCTCATGTTTTAAGCAGTAAAACATGTTATAGTGGTAGAATTTTTTCATGGAACCACGTT